CCTAAAACTCTATATACTTTTTCTAGAACATACCCCTCTCTTATACACTGCTGTAGATTTCTATAATGAATAACGTAATGGTCTTTATCAAGTAGAGTTAGTATAAGTTTTTCTGTATCGGGACGTTGATTTCCTATCCATTCTTTTTGCTTTGATCCATACCAATCATATGGTACTTTCTTTCGTTCTGGACACATTGGATAGTCTCGAAACTTTGGGTGTAATTCTTTTGGAATCGACAGCTTAACCTCTAAACAACATCCTCGATTTGATTTTTCTTTTAACGATAAAATTTTCTGCACTAATGGGGAAGTAGCCTCGAGGGGTTTTGTTGATAGCCATTTAAATCCTCCGGTTGGTAAATATTGGGACATTGCCCAACCATATAGATTATTGGCGTCTAAGTAGAGTAGCCATTTTTTTGCTTTTTTCCCATCATACCCCTCTAATCCTGGAATATTTGCTCTGGCTATGCGTCGTCTAGCTAAAGACATTCCTCCCCTTTTCATTGCTGTAAAGAAATCGTGCATATCTCCTTGGTATTCGTGAAATAATTCTAGCTTAACTTTAGTTACCTTCATACATGCGTCCCATGCTAGACCTGGTGCGGTTAAATAATTTGCTGGGTCGAGCTTGAATGCTGAATATGAGGCTTTACGGAATGCCTCGAATGCGTCTGCTAAAATCAATACATCAGTTTTTAGATAAATATCGTGATAATCTCCAAAGGTTTTACACCCAGTTTCTTTCCATACGGTATGAGCAAAATCGTAATCCTTTTGTAATATTGTATAGACTTTCTCATGTTCACATTCTTTGTTTTCACACCCTTGATCGCAATAATTATATCCTTCTAAATCGCTATTAAAATCCTTACGTGAAGGTAGTTGTGTCTCATTAAATTTCGTTTTGCTATTTAACCATTGATATGGGAATACCCCCTTTCGTGTTACCAAAGATAGCAAATAAGGTGAGAAGAATTTCGACATAATTGGGAAACATTTTGCCAATTGTTCTGGTGTTTTTGTTTGACCCTTCTTTTCATCACGTAAATTTTCTGCCATTTTAGCTAAACCTGGTAACGAAAATTTTATGCTATCAATAAATTGAAGCTGGCCAACTGAGAAAGTAATATATTGTTCTGAATTATTGGCTATAGGTACTATTTTTTCATCCGTCACTTTAGCTATTTCTTGCATAAGATGATGAAAATCATAGCCACTCCCATTACAAAATAGTACTGGAATTTTTATTGTTTCTGGATCGATTCGTAATTTCAGATTACAACCACTGTGCGCTGGCCCTCGAAACTTTCCCGTAATATGGTCATGATCTATCACTCTATTTTTTTCCTCGTCTGGTAAATGCGTATTGCAATACATACATACCTTACAAGATTTATGTTTTTCTTTTTGCTCAACATCTAGCTTACCTTGAATTATTGGCTTTTTCCCGTGGCATTTTCTATGTGAAGCTCCTAAATATTTCTTAGTTTCTGGATCAAATATACGAATTTTATTGTATCCTGATTCGTGTAATTTTTCTTCACATATCCAGCACTTACTTGCCATTTGATACTGCCTCCATAATTTTGGCGTCATTTTTTCGCA